ATCTTCTTTCATGCCAATCGATACCTGTTTCTTTTAGGATCTGCATTAATTTGGTCCAGTTTACCCGGTCAAATGCCTTCTGCCAGTCTATGAAGCAAACACACAGTTCTTCATCTATCTCCAAAGTTCATTCCACTATAATTCTCATCATCCCAATTGCATCCCTGGTTCCTTTTCCTCTTCTAAATCCAAACTGATCTTCTCCAAGTACATCCTCTATTTTCCTCTCAATTCTTCTTTTAAGTATCTTTGCTATTATCTTTGCTGTATGTGCAATAAGGCTTATTGTGCGATGGTCGCTGCATTTTGTAGCTTTCGTCTTTTTCTTTAAGGCAATCATTGTAACTTCTGTAAAGTCCTTGGGCCACTCTCCACTTTCATATAGGGTGTTCATTAGTTTTGCCAGTGTTTTCAAACCACCTTCTCCCAGTAACTTGAGCATATCTCCAGGTACATCATCATCTCCTGTAGCCTTTCCCTTCCTCTTTTCCATTCTCATAATATGAAACAATTTGATTTTTCCTTATGGGGCTATTATCATAGTAAAAATTTATGCTAAGGCAGTGTCTTAATCAATCACACCCCTCCTAGCTGCAACAGATATTATGGGCCAACACAGACAACTGGCTCATGTCAGGGACTCTGTTCAACATTGCTGTGAAGCATGCTTTCAAGCTGGAGGAGGTTACCTTTGAGTATTTGTGTATTCAGAACAATTTTACAAAGTTCTATAAACTGCTGACAGTGTAAAGATCTTACTAGACTAACTGAACATGTTCACAACAAACAATATGGAGTATGAGCTGTTCTTTCGAAACTCTTCTGTAATTCACCTAAGTCGTGGAAAAAATGACAACTGAACTCTCATCGGAAGCAGTATCCTCACATCCTGCAAAGTAATCTCTAGTCACATATTTCTGCACATTTAAACTTGCATAAAACCACCACAGCTGAAGAGACTGGTTTGTTGTTAATCATTTAGTATAGCAGTCCAGACAACAGATGGCATCTAGCATTACATGTAGATATTTAAGCAAGAGAATAGCCTTTCACATGATTTATTCCCTGTGGGCTCTTCTAAGCAACTATACTTAACCTCATCAGCCTTAGTGTTTTTAGCAGATGTTTCTATAGCAGGGCTTGGCAGTCAGAGGGTTAAACAAATACAAAATTACTGGAAATATGTAATGTCACATTATATATATATTTTGTATTTTGAGCAGATAGAAAACCTTTCTTAAATTCAGAGTTTTCTGGATGGATGGAAGATTGGTGGTCACGTTTTATTAAAATATGCCTGCTTCCAGGACAGAAAAAGAAGGGCTCTAGTGACAAGTTGAACGCTGCTGTGATGGAATACTCAAGCCATTTTGTTACTTATGCATAACTGTTTCATAAATAAAGATAAAACAAAACTTTGATACTTACATATGAAGTTCTCTTATCACACTTGTGTGTATCTTTGAAAGCGTTTGGTGTATAGAACTTATCAGGGCACTGATTAATATCCAATTCAAGTAACCTCATGGTAACAGCAACAACACCCCTATGGCATAAAAATGAAGAGCGTCTATATACATGCAGTATGAAAGTGGATTCACTGACATGTTAAATAAACTACAGCAGTCTTTGAAAAGTCTTTCGTTAAAATTAAATGTGTTTATAACACATTACCACACAAAGTTCTTGTGTCAAGTCAAGATGGGATAGAATGACAAACAGTAAACTGCTGTGATGAAACAAAGAGGGGTGATGGACAGACAGACAATGCCGTAGCTTCCTCAGCTCCCATGTTCATGTCCTTACTGGTCGGTGACTGTCTCACAACAGCTTCAGACTTGGAGTGGTCTGTCTGCCTGCAGACTCTCTCTAAATTCTCAAGTGACAGCTGTTTTCAATTCTCCAGACACAGCCTCTGCAAGGACTCAAGAGAAAACACCTCTTCTTGCAGCTGCATTATTGCAAAGTCATGCAGCTGCTGAGGCCTACACCATTCTTCTATTGTTGTGTATATAACTGTTGTTACACTTATGTGCCATTTTGTGTTCCATTGTTGCATTACTCTTTATTGTTCCATAATCTAGCAATGGACATCTCCTCTGAGTAAACTACTCTGGCTCTACAAAGTCAGTCCATGAACATTTGCCAAACACTAGGTTGCTCTCCAGTCTCATATTAGTTATGTATTTGCTCCTCAATTAGGAAGGTTGGAAGCTGAACAAATTATGGGTTTTACTAATGCCAGTTACTATTCCCTTACTCATTACAGTAAAATTCAAATTTGGCATGTTCCTTTAATGTATATATTTTCTAATCAGTCCTATTCAAAATTCCATACTAATATCTTTCATTGCATTTACACTCATGGCTATTTCTTGTATCCTCAGTCCTGCGATCAGACCGAAATTCACAGGCTTATTAGTTTAATTTATTTACCACTATGTGATCCCAAAATGGCTTTGCTATGTAGTTTTGAGTACTGTGAATGCCGTGCACAAAATTCAATTACAGTCAACTCTCGATTATCCGGGGGCGGATTAACCGGTTTGCGGCTTAACCGGGGCTTTTTTTTTAAGTTTATATGTTGTTTAATATTCATTCACTTTTGTTTCACATGGTGAGTTTAACACTATTTTCGCACTAGTGTGAACCGAGCTCTGCATTATTTCGTCCCGTTATGCGAACACAATGTTCTAGGGTGGGGGTGAAAGAATGCAAGAATTTTTGGAAAGTTTCAAGGACAAATACACCGCCCCAGGTTATTTAACGGTACCATCTCAGTGTGAGAGTGCATTGTGAAAGTAAGTATCAGTTTCTTAATATAGATCTTCAAGTGCGTTAGCAAAATGTCGGGGTTTAAAAGGAAGCGTGTTGTGTTAAGTATTCAACAGAAACTTGAAATTATCAATCAGCTGGAAAAAGGAGCTGTAGTTAAACAATTAGCAATGCAATACGGTATTGGAGAACAAACTGTTCGTGATTTGAAAAAACAAAAGAATGAGTTAATTTCCTTTGCTTCGTCTTCTAATTCAAGCGGAATGAAGAAGAGAAAAACCATGAAGAAATCAACATACGATGATCTCGACAAAGCGATGCTGACCTGGTTTAATCAACTAAGGGCACAGGGAACAACAATAACAGGACCAGTTTGTGCTAAACAAGCTAAATATTTTTTCGAAGCACTTGAACTAGAAGGGAGTTTTGACGCTTCTTCCGGTTGGCTAACACGTTTCAAGCAGCGTCATGGAATACGAGAAATCAGTATTCAAGGTGAGAAATTGTCAGGGGACTTGTCAGCATCAGATCAATTTTGCACCAATTTTGATAGTTTTGTGAAAAGTGAAAATCTGCTGCCAGAACAAATCTATAATGCCGATGAAACGGGTCTTTATTGGAAATGCTTGCCAACCAGAACATTGGCATTTCAAAATGAAAGACAGGCTCCAGGTCACAAATCCAGTAAGGAGAGATTGACAGTCTTGTGCTGTTCTAATGCATCAGGAACACACAAACTAATACCAGTAGTTATCGGCAAAGCGAAAAGACCACGCTCTTTTAAAGGAACAGTAGCTTCAAGTCTGCCTATCCATTATTTTAACCAGAAAGTAGCTTGGATGAATAGAGCGATATTTAAAGAATGGTTTGATTTTAAATTCGTGCCTCAAGTTCGTGACCATCTAAAATCCCAAGGCCTACCTGAGAAAGCTGTGCTCCTCATTGACAATGCGCCCTCACATCCTAACGAAAGTCTCCTGAGGTCAGATGATGGAAATATTTTTGTGAAATATTTTCCCGCTAATGTTACCGCACTTATCCAACCAATGGATCAAGGAGTTATCTCAAGTATGAAGAGAATCTACAGATCAAATTTGCTACAAAAGTACATCGATGAAGGCAATGATCTGACGTGTTTCTGGAAGTCCTTTTCAGTATTAGATGCCATATACGAGATTTCAACAGCGTGGGATACAGTAAAGCCATCTGTATTGAAAAATTCATGGAAGAAACTGATGCCTTTCATCACTAATGAAGATGACGAAATCCATGGATTCACTGGATTCAGTGAAAATGAGATAGCCATAAAATTGACAAAAGTGGCTAACCAAGTTCATGGTGGTGAAGAAGTCAACGAGGAAAATATAAGAGAGTGGTTTAACTGTGACTCGTGTGAACCGGGCTTCGAAATGTTAAGCAGTGACGAAATCGTAACTTCAATGGGGGTGCAGCCAGAAGAGCGGGAAGAAAGTGAGAATGAGGAAGAGGTGGACAGTGTTGCCAGTAAGAAAGTATCACATGGTGCTGCGCTTAATCATTTGGAATCCTTACTAGACTATCTTGAGAGTGAAGAGGACAGTTTATTAAGTGACAAGCTAATATTACGTAGGCTTCGTACGGATATCCGTAAAAAGGAAAATGCCGCGAAAAAGCAAAAGACAGTATTAAATTATTTTAAGTGTTAAGTGTGACCGTAAAAAGTGCTGGATGTTGTTGAACAGTGATTGAAATAACTAATTCATACTGAGTGTAATGTAAAGAAAGTATTAAATAGGCCATGAGATGACATAGAAATGAGGATGAATAAATTTAAATACAGGTAGGTCTATAGTATTATGAAGGTATTAAAAGGTAAAAGGTAAAGTTGTTCCTCTGCTCAACGAATTAAGCCCTACGCCATTAAGGCGTGTGGGGGAGTGGATGTATAGATCCAAATTTTCTTGACCTCGGCACTAGTTGGAGGTGAGTGGTCAGCTTCACGCCCCGGCCGCTTTACCCCCGGGGAAAGAGCCCCCGGTACCCATTGGATAGGAGGTTGGATGGACCCCAGAGCCGGTCTGGACGATTTGGAGAAGTTAAAATTCTTGACCCTACCGGGACTCGAACTCCGACCCTTCACAGTCGTCCAGCCCGTATAATAAAATTTGGCTTAACCGGGTTTTCGATTAACCGTGACTTCCATCCCCACCATTAGCCCGGATAATCGAGAGTTGACTGTATATTATATTTATAGAAAACTTAAACTGATATACTGGTAAGTACGCAATGAAAAACACAGTGTCATTTTTTCAAAGTCTGCATCATCTTTCATTCTGAGTGAGCAACTGAGGAAAAGGAAAGGAATTTTACAAATAAAAAGATTGGTATCACAGTTCCCACAATGGCAACACAACTTAAAATCATACCACCTACATTAAATACAAGTCCACTGCAATGGACAGAGATGCTTGGAGGCTGTTGGTCCAGAAGCCAAGGCCCACAAAGCGTACTGCAGAGCCAGTTGGAGGAGGGAGGAGGAGGAGGAGGATGAAAAATATGAAGGAACAACGTAAGTTGTATAAAAAAGGTTTCAGTTTCAGGAGTTTTGTGGCAGTGTGTAATGATGATATTTAATGCAAGCCATGTGAGGGGCTTCTGAGGAGAAATATTCCAGCACAGTACCAATTTCATACAATTTATTTTCAGCAATTTTTTGGGAGGGGGTCCGGCAATGGACCTGTCTATCATTTGTTTACAATTCTATGACTAGTTCTTCTATGTGGGATAATAACATCTTGAAATTTACAGCAAAACCTTTTCTTGCAGAACCACTTTACATGAACACTCATTCCAATGTGTATCCTACACATGGCACTTCAACACAGGAAACTACACGACTCAGTGAATGCATCACATAGGCCAAATGGCTATAAGCTCACTTCACGGTAGCTGTATAATATACTGCTGTCTCCAAGGGGGGGGGGGAGAAGAGCAAACCAAATTCTGTACCATTATGAGAAATGCAGCTATGCACGGAATGAAACATAACTCTGTTTTTCATCCACATCTACAAACTGTTCCTATAAAAATTTAAAACTTACTATTTGTACCCAAAGAATAGGCAACAGTATGCAACAATATGATTTACAATTGTGCATTCTGAACTCCTAATACTGTTAATGTTATATTTTAGCGTCCTGTTGCACTGATTTAAGTCCATGATTTATTTAATCCGTCTTGCAGTGCATACACTCATTTATCTCCTTCTCTCTCTCGCACTACATGTTTCGGCATAATAATGCCATTTTCAGGTGCTTACTTATCCACGTCAAACCAGTTCATTGCATGCCATGTTCACACATTAAAGTAACTAAAATATGTATCTATCATGTCTATCATCTATCATGTGTGAACATGGCATGCAATGAACTGGTTTGACGTGGATAAGTAAGCACCTGAAGATGGCATTATTATGCCGAAACATGTAGTGCGAGAGAGAGAAGGAGATAAATGAGTGTATGCACTGCAAGACGGATTAAATAAATCATGGTCCTAATATTGTTATTTACAGAATGTAAAAGGTTAATACTCACTTGAACTCCAGCTTCACTTTCAAACTGTCCCAGCCAAAAAACGGAGATGCATATGTAATAACCCAGTGTTTCACTTTTCCATCACAATCAAAGTAAGGAGCTGTCCAATGTCCATGATCCAAGTTGGCCGCTCTAAAAACCCGATGTTATGAATTACAAAACTAATTTGAGAAGCTATAACAATTCACAAATATGAAACATTCACATACAATTTCTAAGCTGTATCACCAGTATAAAATAGAAATTAATCTTCCTATGCATGGAGGGTTACTATTTATCATCAGTAATGTTATGAAATTTCCTGAAAGTCAGTTATAATAACCAGTTTACAAGTGCAAAGGAAAAATCCTGAAAAAGTTTGAATACTGCCAACATGCTCATATCCTTCATAATACAACAGTAGATAGTGTATTTAACAGGAAAGTGTGAATCTCAACTTTTTGATCAACTTCGGAAAAACATTTCTTGATCTTGATTTAAAAGCTAATCTTCATTCTCAAACTTCGAGAATTCTTATATAAATGCTTTTGCATTTGGCACTGGAGTATGTCAAAAGGAACTGGTATTGTATTTACTCAAACAGAAGACCAGTTTTATTTCCCCACTTTCAAGGTTACAGAACTATAGATCACCATAATGAATTGCCCAGTACTTAAACATCTTACCTGTAAAAGTTTGGATAATGTTCATATTTTTTCAAGGACTCCCCAGTCTCATTTAAACGAATTTTTATTTTCATGTAGAATTTTTCTAGAGAATCAAAGTTTGTTGACCATCTTTCTTTCAGAAACTGGAACCACTTCTTATTAGTGTACACTTGATCTAAAAATGAAATGTAATTAAAATATTATACGTGTTATAGATGTCCAAAAAAATTCCACATTCTTCTGACCTTATGTTTGCTGCTCATAAAATAACACAATTACACTGACAGTTCATGACTGTCAACACATTAACCTTACCAACTCCTGTAAGGTGGAATATGCATTTCACTTCAATACTAGCAGAGCTGATACTGGNCCCACATAGCTGATGAACTAAAACAAAGTTCACCTGTTGTTAGAATCATGTAGACACTCTAAGCTCAGTAGTTGCCAATTTTAAATGCAGACTACAAATGGTCTCAGATACTTCAAATACTCATCATGCCCACCACTAGCAGATTATCATTCCAAGTGTACTTAACTAATTAACACTAAAAACATTCATTCCTACATTAAATATTTAAAAAATTATAAGCAATTTATACTGAAGCACCACTTTTGTCTGGTCCTACAGAAACACAGCTTAACATACCAAATTTCATCACTATATTAAGTTTGGAAAATGTCCTGCCAACCTTCAGCAGTTGTACACACCAAATGCACTTTCACAATTTATCCAGAGGTAAACAGTAGTTGCAATGACTAGAATAAACAAGTCATTTACAGTAAGAAAAAAAAGTTAAAGGCTTATAATTTTGAAATGAAAACTTGGAAAAGGTTAAACAGATCAAAACCAAAACCTACACGTAGGCTAACTTTTTAGTGGAATATCCACACCCAATGTGAAAAAAGTGTGGACCACATGAGGGCGAGGTAGGCAATGAGGTATGCAGAAAGAGGATTTGCGCTGTACATGCAACCCCTAAGAACCTTCTCTTAATAGGATTCGAGTATATTTTATGATGTGAAAATTTTGTGAGCATCAGACTCTAGCATAGATATCTTGCGTGCATTTACATTTTCTGATTGGAAGATTGCTTGTATATGCACTACATTTTTTAATCTGTGAAGTCCAGAAAATGGGACATGATCATCACATTTTTAAATGGAATCATCACAATACTAGAAAACCATGATAACTTTAAGTATGTGAAATAATTCAAGTTACCACATAAGTAGTTTAAAATCAGTGTCACTAAATACATATGAATATTCTGAAATAACTTCATTAAATCTATAGAACAGGTCAGAATAGACTTTTTACAATTCTTAAAAAGATGGCAGAAGACAATTCTGTATTATGATACATTATATGTATAGCACAGTATCCCATAATTAGCGCAAAATAAACAAATTTTAAGAGAAAGGATTTCATGAAAGGAAATGGTCAAATTTAATGAAGACAGAGAAAAATTGACACATTTTTGCAATGAACCCATGTGACTTCAAGATGAAATAAAAATAAACACACTGCAAATAAAGTTTTAATGGAGCAATTACCTACTTTCCATGCGCACTTCAGTAAAATATTTTAACTTACGTGTTTCATTTAATCTTGCAAGGTCTTCAACTTTGAACTTTCTAGTATTGAGCTGCTTTTTGTATGCAAATGGGGCAAAGAAAGTTCTGTTTGTAAACTTGTTACGTTCCCAGAATGTTCCGGCAGACCATATTTTTGTGTCACCCATTACAAGTGCCAGTGTTTCTCCTATCATCTGGTCTTCTGATAATGGTCGGTCAGCCACACGCTTGCCAGAATAAACTTCTTTTGGATCTGAAATCTATAACATCATCAAACATATTACCAGGAGCTGATACATGTACAATAAATTTAAAAACATCCTCTCCTTCTTTGTACTTACTCACCTGCAGAAAAGCACTAATGAAGTTGGCAAGTCTGACTGCCATCTTCGCTTCATTAACAAACTGCTCCTCTGCTCCATAAGCAATATCACCATGTAGGACTAAATCCTGTGAAGTATAGCTGCAATATGAACAACATGCTTTGATGTTCAGATGTTTAACAAGCACCAATGAAGATTTCAAGTAAGTCTGACTGCCATATTTGCTTCATTTGCAAACTGTTCCCAACTACGCAAGTAATGTCTCCAAGCTCAGTTTAGATACTGAATGCTATATACAAGTTACATTACCACCAAATACTATAAAGATACTTCAATCAGTTTTCATATTCTCTGCATAAAATTGAGTCACTAATGCCACAAAAAATTCATTCTCTAGACAAATTGTAAGCCCATACTCACTTTTTGCATGTTCTGGCATTGACAGCAAGTATGAACTTAAGTGCCTGATCAATGTTCATTTTGCTTGTGTGCAGGGATCGAGCACCCACAGAAAAATTACGATATTCATAGAACTTCTCCAAGTACATCTCCCTTACATGATGACTTGCAGTTTCCCACTGTACAGGCATCTTATGTACCCCTGAAAAAAAAAGTGTCTGTTTAACAAAAGAATAGCAAACAAAAGCAAAATCAGGAGAAATTGTTACATTCATAGGGCATCTTCACACAACAACTTGCAATTTTCCTCTATACAAGACACTTATGTACATACGAGTACATAAAACACAAACTATCTTTTACCACAATCATTCAAAACTAGAACAAAGCTGGAAGAAATTACAATGTTCACAAGACCTCTACAAGTACATCCCTTCACAAACTATCTTTTACCACAATCATTCAAAACTAGAACAAAGCTGGAAGAAATTACAATGTTCACAAGACCTCTACAAGTACATCCCTTCACATATTAATAGTTTCTCAATACACACACTGCTTATGTACTTCTGTAAAACTTAAATTTTCCTCCTACATAGGGGGAAAAAGAAACAAAAACTGCATGCATAAATTTGCAACAAAGTGGTATAATGCAAATAAATACATTGTATTTAACAAACTATAAGGCAAGGTGGTTTACTTTCATTCAACATAGGGGATGTTTACAAATTAAGAAAAATGGCAAAGAAAAACAAACACAGTTCATGATTTATTCTGACAGTCTTACAGTGCATACATTTATTCACCTTACTCTTCTCTCTTGCACTACATGTTTCAGCACTAAAGTGTCATCTTCAGGTGCTTTTCTATGTATGTCGAACTACTTCATTGCATGCCCTGTTGTATGCACTGTAAGATGGTCAGAATAAATCATGGACATAAATCAGTGCAACAGGATGCTAAAATATAATGTAAACACAGTTCAATGACTTCTGGGAAAACAAACATCACATATACACATAGTATAGCATGCATTGAGAACAAACTATTTCAAAAGCAGTAACTGTCAGATTTCTGTTTCTGTTACTTTATATTGGGCACACAATCTGCCCATTTCTGTATGTCTGGAGATGTGTCTCTGCTCTCATCATAACATGCATGATAAGATTCTCTACATCCAATGGCCTTGCCACTGCCTAACCAAGGGGGCTGATGTGTGTAGCAATAACATTCCTACACCAGTGTTCTATGAATGCTTAGTTATGAGGAGCATCATGGCTGTCAAATGTTACTTAGCCTTCAGGTGTGCAGCAATACGCTGTGGTTCATAGGAGTACAGTGCAATATACAGTATCAACGGTCGTAACGAAAATTTATAGGTAATTTTATGATACACATTTTAACATTTCTCTTTTCTTACTGATGTACAATAATTGTATCTGTTAAACAAAAGTTCAGTAAAACATGAGATGAAATCATGCGAGGGCATATTCCTTTGTAAATAGGACCATCCAGCTCTGGAATGAACTACTTGCAGATGCTTTAGGGAGTCATTTCTGTAAATGAAGTAATTTTAGGGAAAAGGTTAAGAAAGCGATAAATAAGGCAAAGTGAAGGTGTGGGGGAAATCATCCAAAAATGCAGTGAAGTGAAGTGAACTGAAGTGGAGGTGAAAGGAAATAAACTATGGTGAGAATGCGAAGGGCATGTAAGTAAAGTGGAATGAAAGGAAGGTCATGGTGAAACGTGAGTGTATCACTTCATGCCATTATGTATATCAGGAGTCTCCAAACTTTTCGAAATGAGGGCCACATTAGGTAATTCAGCACTTTCAACGGGCCGGATAAAATGAGAAATTGATAACTCTAGGTATATGAGTTTTATTGAAAGCACAGAATTTCATAAACTAAATACAAAGTAAGTGAGAATAAATTATTGTATATTAATGACAACAGACAGTAGCAGCAAATGCTCATATTTTCATCACAAATTATAATAAAACAATGTGAATGATGGAACTCTTTTTGCATTCTTAAAATCTGATTAAATTGAGGTGATGATCTGTTACAATTACACTACACACTGCAGGAAGTCTTGTGCATGAGACGGCTAGTAACAAACTGCTCGCACTACCTACATTGCCACAAAGTGACACTGCCGATCGAGGCCGAACAAGTACAAAGAAATACCACACAGAATATGGTCTAGAATTAGTAAAATTGTGAGTAATGTTAATATTAACATAATATGGAATATCAATATATTTTAAACACAATCTTAATTAATGAATTTGAAATCTATGAACAAGTATTTTTTTACCTTGCAAAATTAGTTCAATTGGCGCATTTCTACACAATTCTTTCGCGGGCCGTAGTTTGTAGACCCTTGATGTATATCATTACTGTTACTGTTTAGTGTATAGTATACTTATTTTTTATTAATATTAACTTATTTAATTTTAGTTGAAATTATATTTGTTGTCGCTCTAACTGTATTTGCATTGTATTCACTGTGTGTAGTGTGTCCTTTATTGTTTGTTCAGTTTTGTGTCCTGTGTTTTGTTTGAGTGATGTGTTGTATTTGTGTGTTGTGTCTTATTGCAGTACCACTGCCACCAGGTAAAATCCCATTTGCAGTTTAAATAAATAAATAAATAAATAAATAAATAATAATAATAATAATAATAATAATAAAAAGACATCCTCAGGTATCATGACATGCAGATTCCTCCTCCTTTCTCACAAACTTCATGTTTAAATTTAAGGTTATCAGATATGCTGAAGAGACCAATAACTGTTTCCTTTCAGGAAATATAATATTTCTGGGATCAATGAGTAGTGATGGAGGAAAGACAAAAACGCTTAACAGGTACAAGTTTTACCAGAAAATGTATTGTGTCAATTTAAAGTGGATCATTATGAAGAGACAGAAGACTGTATCTAAGAACTGTACTTCGACAAGTAATAATAATATTTCTCTTTAAAATTTTCCATTTTGAAGATAGGCCATTTTGTAGTTGAATAAAGAGGGTAATTCAGAACTGCCAGGGTAACAAGCTCAGTGAAACACTGTATGTGCCAAAACCTAGCAGACCTTAAGCATTTGCTTGTTAAAATAATACTGTGTATCACTATGACTTGAAATATGAGCTAGTAAAAACAAAACAATGACATTTCCAAGCAAAATAATGGCAAATAATAATATAGTCAAGAAAGCAATTTGAATTACTTAGGCTGCAGAATATCCTATTGCCAAAATGAAGATACAAAGATCAAATTGACTGGCCCTGCTGAAATGCAGTTTGTAAGATCAGTAGCTAGATTTACTCTCCTAGACTTCAGATCAAACTGAATAAATTCTGGAGGATCTTCATAACAAAAACTCCTAGAAAAAAAAAACACACACACACACAGCTACAATTTCATAAAGTGATAGCAGTGCCTGTGTTTAATTACAGCTATGAAAATAGATAATGAAGTGGCTGGATAAAAGAAAGACTGGGCCTTTAATAATAAACAAAAACGGGGACCCACAAAAAAATTACTAAATTATAAAATGGAAAAGTGAAGGATAAATTCAACTTAATATGGAACAGACCTGAGGTCCAACCCTTGAAGCAGAAGAATGAAATACTGTCATGGGGCAGAAATGTGTTATAAAGCCAGATAATTAGAATCACCTGCTGAATCACATATCTTGTTATTTTCAAAATTTAGTCTTTAATAAAAAAGAGCATGCAAGAAACTGTTACTGATTACAGAGTTTCAGGTGGATGAAAGTGGCATGGCCCGGAGGAATTACTATAAAAAAAATACTATATAACTGAATGTTAATATGCATTACACAACAAGTAAAAAGAGATGTTACAGACCAGGGCTTCCAACTGTGGAATTGCAAGTCTTCATTAATAAAATAAAAACAAACGTGTTTTGTTCAAACAAAATTAAATTATTCTATGTTGGGTCTATGGGTTCTTCAGAGCTCGGACATGTAACACAAAGACAAGCAGAACAGAGTCTTCTGATACATATGATGCATGAGAATTGTTTAACAAGATTTCATAAAGTAATTACCTGATAATGAAACATGTTTTCTGTAACTTCTGTGCCAGTATCATGGACTTCATGAAACCTGAACATCAATTTGAGATTAAATTCTCAGACAGGCAAACTCCATAAAATACTGTAATTTTGGTTCAGTGTTATGGTTCTCTGCCTACTTACTACTGACTAAAATTCTGAAGCAGTAAATAAAATGAGTACAAAGTCTATGCAAGATTGGGGTGCCCTACTGATGATCTGAATATATCCGTGACAGTGCAAGCAGCCTATTAACCTTTAAGAGTCGGCATTTAAACCCCACACGACTGCGCTGCTGCCGGAGTTAATTTGACGTTGCCCTTTTAATATTGTAGACTTCCAGGAAAAACTACATATTTTCCGTTCTATGCAGCTTAGAAATACGAACTAAAAACCGCCTGAAAGAGAATGAATTTTCCTACAATATACCTATGGCAATTTTTACAAATAAAAATTAACTGTGATTGTTATGTCATGAAATTCAAAATATACTCTCTATTATATGTGTAATGAAATTCCAAAAGACTTACCCATAATTTTTTCTTTGAATTTGAGACGTCGTTATATCCAAAATACATTGACACTATACACCAAAATGTTTGGTCAGACTGTACACGAGTTTCAACTCGTTGCGTCATGTAAGTTTACGCTACTATAGATACTGCGTGCGGGAGCGCGGAGAGGCAGAGTTTGCTTCAGCGCGTTGTGAAGGTCACACAGGCCTCACTTCTCATACGCTGGTAGACAATCTGGTTCAGTCTCTCGCTTAGCGAACAAACAGGAAGTTATTGTTTCTATCTGGCTGGCCGGACAGTGTTGTCAATGTTCAGTTCCAGATGAGTGGATGAAAAATCTTGGCTTCCCCAGAGAAACAGTCCGCCACTGACTTACAAGCTGATAATTCAGACACTCAATAAACACGTCACACTTCCTTGAGGGCTACAGAAGCAGTGATCTGCCCGCACAGAGGAATGTTGGGTCAGCTTTTCTGTGAAGAAGCTTCCACTCTGTTTGGCTGACCAAGTCACAAACAGTCTTACCTACATGTAAACGAAATCGAACCCAGTGCCATGATGAAGGGTTTTATTGTTCAGAGCCAACAACTGGACCTCTGACTTGAACTTGCGTGTGTTTGTTTTGGTTTCAAACTCAACGTCTAACCGTCAGCACTTCTAAAGTGAGCACGTGTCTTGCGTCCAGTATACTGGACTTTCGGCATCTTCGAGGTCACAGGTACCGTCCGGTATACCGGACTTTCGGTCGTTAAAGGTTAATGGAAGATGATCACATAAAAAATAATATTTTTGCCCATATACTGTGTATTTGTGAGTACAACTTTCATATTATCCATAAAATATTATGTATGTCTAATGTCACTTCTTTTTGGGAAATCAGAATGACAAATACAGATCATATAACATCAATCTGAAAGATGCAATGATATTCAACCAAATTCTGCACTGTTCCACTTCACAATTGTATTTGCTTTCTGAGGTCTGCCTCTTGAAGCACTATTAGACTCACCACAAATAGTCCTTTCAGTAATGGATTCAGAAATGTCATCTAGAACTTCAATATGTAAATAAGAATCTATTCAAGGACAGAACAATGAACTGTTTGTAAAATGTCAAGGAAGTGGGGGTATTTAATTAAATGGACACACCAGACCTCCATGTGTTAAACAATTCAATAACTGCACTTACTTAGTGGGGCCGCACCATAGCTCAAGCGGTTAGTCGCTGGCTTCCCACCGCGGCAACCCAGGTTCGATCCCGGGTCTGGTCAAGTGGGATTTGTGGTGGACAAAGTGGTGCTAGGGCAGGTTTTCTCCAAGTACTCGGTTTCCCCTGCCAGTCTTCATTCCACCAATTGCTCCACAATCACCCTAACCTATCATCTGGGGCTGGTACAATAGGCCAGAAGTGGCAACAGTACAAGGGACTTAGTCCCACCACACTAGCAATAAAAAAAATACTTACTTACTTATTCATGGAGCTGAGCCCTTCTGGAGGAGCCGCCAATTCTGCAGCTACTCAAGAATGTCACAGCATTTTATGGAACCCGAAGGTTCATTACCGTGTTCACAAGAGCCTTCCACTGGTCCATATCCTGAGCCAGATCAATCCAATTCATCCCATCCTATCTCTCTAAGGTCCATTTTAATATTGTCCACCCACCTACACCTTGGTCTTCCCAGTGGTCTCTTTACTTCTGACTTTCCCACCAATATCCTATACGCATTCATCGTCTCCCCCATTCGTGCTACATGTACATGCCCTGCCCATCTCATCTCCTTGACTTCTAATTATACTTGGAGAAGAGTACAAGTTCTGAAACTCCTCATTAAATAATTTATATTTATTATATTATTATATATCTATAAAAGTCAACTCTCGATTATCTTGGGGTGGATTAACCGGTTTGCGGCTTAACGGAGGCTACTGAGGCTTTTTTGAGGCTTATATGTTGTTTAATATTCATTCACTTTTGTTTCACATGGTGAGTTGTAACACTATTTTTGCACTAGTGTGAACCGAGCTCTGCATTCTTTGGTCCCGTTATGCTAACACAATGTTCTAGGGTAGGGGTGAAAGAATTCANGGTAGGCCTATAGTATTGTGAAGGTACAGTATTACAGTACTACTTTTAATAAAATCTGTCTTAACCGGGTTTTCGATTAATTGTGATTTCCATCCCCACCATTATCCCGGATAATCGAGAGTTGAGTGTATATTAAATATTATTTATATTATAATTATTTATAATTATAATGTTCATCAATTTGAGGTTTTCCCATACATCATATTCAGTTTCAAGGATCCCAAGTCAACAAAAAATATGTCCAGTTAAGATTTTCTTCAGGTTAGCGTTCAACTGCACTGTGCCCAAAGAAACATGTAATGTCTGATGAGTATGTTCACCCACCTAAGTGTTCCAAATTGCATCTGTTTCCTCAGTTCCAGCAGAGCCTTCTATGAGAATGATTTTTTCAGTTCAAGACGAGATTTTGGAAAAATTCTGAGAATCAAGATAAGAATGAGAATTTTCTCTACTAGATTTGTTCGCTTTAAACATAATTTATAACATTAGCCACTTTTGCATATGTATTAAAGGGTATTACAGATAATCATTTCTGATACTGGAAACTACCAAGTACAGATATAGAAAAAATGAAGTCTTGGCAAAGAGAGAGAGCAAACAGACAGACAGACTGACTAAGTTGATGTGATAATTCATGCCAGCACTGCCAACTCTTACAATTGTGATGAAGCTGGTAGTCTGTGTATTGCAGTGAAGTGCGAAAAGAGTAACCTAAAACTTCTCAAGTCCAAGACTGAAAATACAACATTCAATCTTGAAAAGTAAACTCACATAAGCTTAATGCACACATTATTTTGACACCTGCAAGGAAATATCTAACCAGTGTCAATATTTACTACAGTTAAAGTACTTTTTACCACTTCATTGTGGTAAAAATCTGCTGGTGAAGCAGTCAATGCCTAAAAAATGGCACCTAAAAATGTTGCACCATACAGAGGTAAAGAAAGGACAGGAGGATATAAATGGTAAAAGCAATGAAGGATAGTATTACTGATGGGTGGGATTTTTTATGTACACCTTTGAAATGGGCTCAGGTGGCATTATATGCATACTGAGTTCCACGATAATTGGTTCAGACATTCAGAAGTTGTTTGGAGGGAAACACATACAAACATACAGATAGCAAGGTGATCTCATGAGCCTACTGTTATTTTTTCAAAATAAGGAAAGTAGGCTTATCAGATCACCTTGCTATCTGTATGTTTGTAAGTGTATCCCTGTCTGCATGTCTGTAGGTCTATATAAGTATCCTGCATAACAACTTTTGAATGTCTGATATAATCTTTATATAACTTTGGATGTACAGCATAGAGCCTGAGCCCACCTCAACAGCCTAATTAAAAAATCCCTCCCATCAGTAATACCAGCATTATAGTCATTCAAACTGCTGAGGCAAAACCTTAATATTGCTTGAACACCTGTAACAATCTTCATAAACCTGGTCGGTACAGCATGCCACATAAAGCCATCTAAATGATATACATCATAAATCCCACCCATCTGTAATGCCAACACTGAAGCCTCTCAAATTTCTGAGACAAAACCTTAATATTGCGTGAAAACTCATATCAGTCTTCCTGAAACTTGGTCTGTATCATGCAACTTGAAGCCATCTCAGTGGCATACATTAATCCCTCCCCTCAGTAATACCAACACTGCCACCTGAGGCCATTTGCCAAATTTGAATGCCCAAACTAATCTTCATTAAACTTGGTACATATATGATGTCATCTGTGGTCATCTCAACAGCGTACTTCAGAAACCAATCCCATCAGTAATACCAACACTGCAGCCTCCCAAACTGCATTGTTTTATTGACTTCATGACACATATATACTACAGGTTTCTGCGTGTCATATCAGACACTCAAATTACAGTGAAAGGAAAGTTGGTGGTTATTTCTTCCCAGTACTCCTTGTTTTAAAATATGGAAAGAAGGCTAAAAAAGATTAAGAAAGACAACTTACAGCCAATCTTCTCACAGTCAAAACCATTGTAATACTGCTCTGCTGTTGCTCTTTCAATAATCTCTCCAAGAAATGGTCGTCGGACAATTGTTGGCAAACGGAAACCAGGCTGACAACGACACTGGTATCCGCCTCGCCTAAATCCCCATCCATGGATAGGCTCACACTTAAAAGAGAATGTGATGATGAAAAATTGTAATATTGGTTAATATTTCAACTAAATCAGCTACAACACCATGGTCAAATGGGGAGTCCTTCTGTTTTGTATTCAGGAGGGTTCAAACCTTGGCTCACAAACTGGTTTCCTCATTCTCTCCGGGCAAATGCTGAGACAATAACTCAAATTATGCCTTACACTTCCTTCTCAATTTATTACTCACTAGCTCTCCTACCATTTGATGATACATAAAGAGTTGCTGCTAGCAACATTAAATTAACCATAAACAAAATAGATTATGGCACAGTCACTCTAATAGCTGAATGTCAATTACATCTGAGTGCTGTTTATACTTTATAAAGATGTGATCTACTGAACTATGTCCTTTCAAATACAGAAATAGTCCAATTATTTACATGCAGTATCTCTTTTTCTCGTGAATCGTAATTCAAAATAGATTTTGATAATCTCTCCTCAGCCATTCTGTTCACTTCTTAAAACTCATGTTTCACTTCCATACAGTAAAGTAGCAACTGTCATTCTTTTACAAAATCCTGCTTGTTTCCATTTAATTTATTATATAAAATCAAAAGATCAGAAGCTGAAAATAAAATTATTTACTTCTACTGCTCCAAATTTTATCAATCAAACCTGCCACAGGAATATCCTATAGGTAAGTCTGAGAACTCAGATAAATAAGAGTACCACATTCTAATATGTTATGCCACGCAGTTTGCTGCACTTGTGTGGTCATCTACAAGAGTACATGGCCTAACATCCCAGAGAGGTATTACTTGTCTATAAACAAGAGTTTTCTGAGAAATGTATTTCAACTGGAGTACAGTAAAGTGTCTATAGTTAACAGTTATTTCAGGCTTTTCAATTTCCTAGTATGTCTCCTCCTCATGCTGCTTAATTCTGTTCCAAAACATACTGATGGGAGAGTTATAAAAATTACACACAACATATATCCTTTCACAAGAAAGCAAAGGAAGCAATTTAGAAATATATGAAGGTAGGACAAAGTATACTTAGAAAGACCTCTGCAGAAAACAAAGCTGCCTCAAGGATTGTGATTACCAGTGCTAACTTCAAGTAAAAAGAAGCTACCTCAACTAATTCTGCAAACTTCAGTATAACTACTACATAAAATTTCTGCTCAATCTAATACAAAGCTTACCTCAGTAGTTTCCTTTTTACACCTAGCTGTATCAGCAAAACGATTTGGACCACTGTTGCCTTGCCCTTTAGGACACTGATTAATATCTATTCGATCAAAATCCATTTCCAATACTGTGACAGCAGTGTATCTGGAAGGGAGAAAAGAACAAGTGTTTTAAGTAAAATTTAAAGCCTCTTTCCTATTGCATGGACTTCTACAAATTTTGTGTTGTCAATACCATATTTAGGTAGTTATGTTCACAGTTCAGCAATAAAATACAACTCAGCTCATAAGTAAGCATGCTAGATTCTTATATCCAATTTATAATCAAGTCAACTTTTTATTGGAAATATATTTATTACAGTTGTTAACATCATCATCATCATCATCATCATCATCATCCACCAATTGAAAGAGTCAGCATGTAAATAAATAAAACATGGAATTGATAATGTCAGTTTAGTGATATTTTTACTGTTATCATATTCACTACCAGCCTCCCCCCCTAGGTAATTGAAATGCTTGGTCCAGCCTTTCTTAAAAGATGAGGTAGAAGTAAAGCATATGCTAACCAGCTAAATATTCATATTCTTCCCTTATAAACTCTGGCTGTAAGAAGATGCTGGATGACCTTGGGGACAGAAGAGGATATTTTAATTGAAAGAAAAAGCTTGACATCGCATTACGTGGAGGAACTGTTTTGGAAGAGACTGTGGACCTGTCGTCTGACAGATTACTGATGAATGAATGAAACTCTGGCACACAGAAATCTGAAATGCCGTACATATTCTAGTAGCCTCTGAAAGTATGATAGCTAGCATCACAAGATACCATGGAAAACCACACTTTCAACATTACCACCTGGTTTCACTAATTTTTTTGGTTTTATAACATGCTACATCTTCTAGTATAACTATTATCACTCCTGACTCCTAGAAATTTCAGCAAAATGCATTCATTTCTCTTGCAATTTAGGCAAAGTAGAGGGTCATTTCTGAGGGCTCCTTTTGGTGATACAGTGTTTGGAGCTTGAAGTGATGAAGCTGACACTGTAGAAGCTGGGGCAATGCTTGCTGGTAATGAAGAAGCATTGCTCAAGTTCTTTCACTTTCCAGAAGTAGGGTACATAAAAAATTTTCATTGATGTCCTGATGCTCCATCCTTATTTCTTGACTAACTTCAGAAACAGCTGGTAGGACCTGAATAATATGCAGTGTAGCAGACAGAAAAAACACTTCCCTTGCCCACTTAGCAATTGTCTTCGTGGGAGAATAAAGGACCAAATATTGATATGCACTGTCCATTCCATGCATGGATACTTCATAACTGGTTATACACTTCCTTCTTACCAAACCTCTTTGAGACATGAACCATTCCTGCAACACAATCCACTGCCGTTATCACAGCTATCTCTTACTTGCTCATCCTTGATAAAGTAGTACTTCCCCACTGCTCAGGTATGTTATTTTACCCCTCCTCAGCATCTTCTGAAGATTTTTGTGATCACTTGGTAAGCATCTATACTGCCTAATTGTTCCACATTGTTCATGTTACTGTTTTACCAAATGAACACTACCATAATAACTGCCACATGCAAAAACATGTACTCCTGTTCAAGATATGGATTCAGAATCACAAAAACAGTATCCTGATACCACTAGCATCACTGATCATCAGTTTACATATATCTGACACAAACTCATCGACCATTTCAACCATAATTCTGTACTCTGTAATTTTTGATGAACTTTAGCCTCATAATATTAGTGGCCTATCTGGGCTAACATCCCTTCCTCAAGGTCTAGCTTTTGTTTGAGAATTTACACCACAGTATTGAATTTCAAGAACAGGATCTTCAGTCCAGTGGATCTGAAGACTAGGCTCATCTCTTATTTGAAACACAAACATCAGCCCCAAATATTTATCCAGTTCTGATAGTCTTAATGGAGTTCATGCCCAAAATAATGAATGTTTTGGGAAGGGATGTGATGAAGTAGTAATGACTTGACAAATATTCACGTTGGTTCAGTCACAAACATGCCCAAGAAAATCTTCTATAATAAATAATTTCACAAATGATATCACATCAGCGTTCTGAATAATGGCATTCCAGCTAACATTCGCTGTAAATGCTGGAAGAGATGGAAAACAACTTGGCCATGTTCCATGTGTGGTTTCATCTGAAATGTCATTATCTCTGGCAATTTCTACAGATGTAGGTTTTTCACCATCACCTGATTCACTGAAATCAGACTCAGGAATCAATAATTTTCACAATCATCACTGAAAAGTACTTCCATTATATGACTGGCACTCAATCACTTATCACTGCAGTGAGTTCTGTGTTTACAGCACTATATGGTGTGAACAAACTGTGATACCAGTTTACTGAAACAAATGAGTATAATGAAGGGGAAATAACTATAACATATAGTATAATGAATGCCAAGGAAATATTCATCTGCCACCTATGAACATGGTGACTACCTACACAATATAACCACTGTCTGAATGAAAAATGTTTGCATGTTCTGCTATGTAACCAAGTCAGATATGGTATTATACATATGGGAATACTTATCCAACCACTGGTCAGAAGTGGAAGTGAATGTGTTAAAATTGCTGGTAATGACTTCAATGTTACACATCACTGCAGTGTCAATAATTACTGATTTATAAATAATATTCATATAGCTTTTGTGGTTATGATTATGGTGTACCTCCATACCAAATTTATCGTGCAGTTACAACAGTTCATAAGTTCATTCATTCACTACCAAACTGAAAGCTAAATCTCAATTCCATGCAGCCCCAGTTTTCTTTTACAGTCCACAAAATATTACTATAAAAATCTGCATAACCTGTGATGGCCTATTAGTGTATATAATTTCCGTGAAAAAAAAAAATATTGTTACGTATCACACTATGCAGGACACTTCCCCCCCTGGCGGCGGTGACGTGCTGAGTGGAGCCGAAGTGAGCCAAGTCCCAGCATACTGGTCGCTATGCAACGGGGGTAAACAGTGGTTGCGAGAGACAACTCCCGACAGCATTACCAGTAACACCGGTAACCACGGCGCCGGACAATGGTGCCTGTTACGTGGCTGTTTTCTGCGTTGTCTGGAACAAGGCTAGATACAGAGCAGCGAAGACTATTCATAGTCAGTTCTGAGTTCAAGTTCTCGAGTTACGAGTTCCAAGTTAGCCAGCAGTCAGTTCTCAGTTCTCGAGTTACGAGTTACGAGTCAGCCAGGCAGTCAACCAGCATTTGCAGTGTAGTATTTGTGATACTGCCGATGGCAGTGAATGTCAGATTGTAATTTGTGTGATTGTAAGAACAAATGTGAAATAAAATTCGCTATATCAAATACGGCGTGAAGTTATCTGTTGTGTATACACCCAAACACGTGACATACATACATACATATACATTTGCGTTTCAGATTATTCACAAANCTAGTAATTAATACTGTAGCACGGTTAATACAGCTCTCCACACAATCCGCCATATTGCCATACCATACCATACTGACAATATTATGTGGAATACTGTCACTGCCACATTACAATTCTCTATGTTTGCTACTTACCAATCACAGAATATTAAAAAATTAGGGGGTTAGGGGGTTAGGGGTGGCCTAAAATATTATAATATCCATGCTCAACTGGTTTGAATATAGGAAAGCATGTTATGTATTTTAAATGTTATACACTGTATTTAATCAAACAAATCTTGTACATAAATCCTTAAAAATAATATACAATACATGTTACATATTAGGCTGTGTGCATGAATGATGTCATCTTTAGGCCACATGCATTTCATCAAACTGTCACATTTATCTCTCCCGCCTCCCACACACAAGTTCTTTACGCATAAATATGGTAAAAGTAGAGAAGTAAAAAGTAAAGGTATCCCTGTAACAGGCAGTGGAGGGCCACAGGGTTGTGAGATGTTGAGGTTCCCACATTTTCTAGACAATCAGCTCATAAATGGTGGTAAGGTTGTCACCCTTACGCCCCGGCCGCTCTTTACTTCCAAGAATATTTCTGGTACTCATTTCTGTCAGAGGCTGAGTCGACGCCAGGGCCATAGTGCGGCTGGAAGGATTAGGTAACTTGAAAAAATCCAGTGACCTCATCGGGATACGATCCTGTGACCTTCCGGCTTGTAGCATAGTGCCTCAACATACTACGCTACTGTGTGCCCCCGCATAAGTATGGTATTACTGATAAAATGCTACACTAGGCCAACTGGAGAATGGACATGTGTAGTTGCAATAAAGCAATGTGTGCCTGATAAAGGCAAAACAAATGTTTTACACTTACAAAGTTTTCAACATGTATACTGGAAGAGGGGGGGGCACATGATCTAGGTAATTACTATCTCATGATGTATAACTTTCACACTGTGGAACATTATCTTTATCACCCAACACATAACACAATGGCTGTCCACAATATACAGAAATAAAGCAGAAGAGATCAGCAATGTTACATTCAAATACCAGATTAAGCATGACATGTAGGTTTCAATACCTACATAATATAATCAGGTAGAAAAGATGGCAATGTGAACAAATACTCACGTAGGATATTCAATATGTCTAAAACCAGTGTGACGAGGGTAGATGTCAGAGATAGGGACAACAGCTCCAACTAACCACTTATCAGCCCTGCCACAGTCGAAATATGGTCGTGTCCACTTTACTGGACCAGGAAATTCATCAGCACCTAGTACATGTGAAGCATGTAAAAATTTTTAAGAGGTAAAACATACATGTCTACCATTAAAACACAATACAGTAACCACCCTGTTATCTGGCATATACGATGGGGTACCCAAAAGAAACTGAATTAATTTTTTGTGGGCAGAGCTTTTGTAGTACCGCATTTTGCCGCTATGAGCGCATAGAGCTAACATTCCTGAGTCGATAAGCCGACTACCGTTGCTTCAGACGGTAAGGACTAGTTTCGGCAGAGTTTATAGTGACAACTGTTTTGTGTGATCGTCGTTTTTGCAATGGCTGATTTTCGTGAACAGCGTGCGGCGGTGAAATTCTGCTTTTTGCTCGGGAAAAGTGGAATAGAAACTCTTGAAATGTTAAAAACGACGTACAAGGACAATGCTATGGGGAAAACTCAAGTGTTTGAGTGGTTTTCCCTTTTTAAAAATGGTGAAATGTCAATTGATGACAAACCTCGTTCTGGTCGTCCTTCCACGACCCGAACACATGAAAATGTTGAAAAAATTCATGAAATCATCAAGGAAGATCAACGACGGACCATTGGAGAAATTGTGGAGCTGTCGGGAGTGACTTGGAGCTCAGCGGCCAGATTTGTGAGTCGGGTGACTGGTTTTTCCATCATGACAATGCCCCTGCTCACACAGCCCTGTCTGTATGACAATTCTTGACCAAAAATGGTATGACCCCTGTTCCTCACCCTCCATACTCACCCGACCTTGGCCCGTGCGACTTTTTTTTGTTTCCTCGAATGAAAAGAGACATGAAAGGAAAAAACGATGGAGGCGCTGTCAAGCATCTCAAAAGATGAATTTAGACAATGTTTTGAAAAATGGAATAAAAGACTAGACAGGTGTATTAGTGTAAGTGGAGAGTACTTTGAAGGGGACTGAAGGTTTGTGCTTAAAATTTCAATAAATAAGTTTAAAAAAAAATAAGTTCGGTTTCTTTTGGGTACCCCCTCACACAGGGAATGGAAGCTGCTGGCATTCTGAATCTGTCAGTTGCAGAAACCTACTACAGGGTGAAAACAATGTATTTGCTTTAGTTCTTGTCTGGGAAACTGCCTAGATAACAGAGTGGACTGATGGGTGAAATATTTTAGAATCATATGCTGTAATAGTAACGGAACCTGCACGAGAGACAGTAGTGGTGACTTGGAGAACTACTACATGGAAAATGATATGCATGTTGCAGATCTGTTCTTGAATAACTTTTATACCAGTTGGATGAGAATGCTGGATGCTTGAATACTGTGTAATCAGCATGTCACTCACCTGGTGGTCCATGGAAAGTGAAAGTTTCATTAGTGTTGTTGGCATAACGGATTTCCACTTGATATGTAGTCTTGGTATCATGTCTTCCTACCACACTGTCAGGTAACCATTTCTTGTACCTGAAAAAAAAATGCAATAAATTGGGGCTAATACTGCTCTTGTATGGCAAATTCAGTGATACAAACTACACACATACATATTATTACCACTTCTTAGTAGCAAAGACTAGGAACCCCCAAGCTCAGTACATAAGATCAATATTCTCTAATAAGAGCTATAAATTACTGCAGCTGTGGGCAAAAACATTAAACTGGGATATCTTGTATTTACTGTTCTTTTTAGTAAAACCAGTTCTTTTCTTATTTCCAATACTTAAAACTATTCTAAACAGTCACATATCCAGTTGACACTAGGCTGTCCTTCCATAACGCAGTAATTATAATTTATTCAGTTTAAACTATTCCTGACCAATTCTAAAAATTTGCATCCAGTCATCACTGGGCAGCCCTTGCATTATGCAACAATGACGAATATTTACTGATGTAACTGAATTGGTGATGTGCAGAATTAATGCAAAGACTACTACTGATTCAGTGCAGTTCCATAATATCTGCCTGTTGATGTGATATTATGTCAATGAAGCAGCTCATTTCATAGTTCATCAAAGTGGCTCTAATTGACTTCAGAAAGAAATGGATAACAATACAACAGTAGTACACCTGCACTAATAAATTTGTAGCCATCAATATCCAACACTGGGGCAAAAGGAAACAAGGATTGCGTTCAAAGCCCACCTTGCATACTTAACTCAATAACAGATGCCAAGTGGATCTGATCAATATGCAGGCTCAGTACAACACAGAACAAATTCATAATCGTTTATCAGGGCCACCTCATAAGGTTCATACTGTTTCATGCTCTTGCAGGCCTCAAGCATAAGAGCTGCTGCTTGTCATCTGAACAGCATGTTTCTAATGTTTGGTATGTCATGTATTCTGTATTCAGAATGTCTCAACAACAGCTTATGCAAAAACAAGTGAACACGAATTAACACAAAACATTTACTGTAATTCACACTTGTCCTTTTGGTATTTCTGTATTTTCCTTCATAAGTCCATCTAGTCAGTTTTCTTTCACTTCTTTAATTTTTTATACAAATTTCAGTTGTTTTCAGAAATGGTTTTGATATCCTGAATTTCCAGTAAAATTTTGGGCAAATAAAACTGAAAAATTAATTACTCTAATCTATAACAATTTTGTTCAATATCCTCAACAGAACTCAGGAGAACAAGAGTGGAAAAAAGTATACTCCATAATATAGTACCCAAAATTCAAAATGGTGTTCCCTACAATTAACTACTTTTTTTAAGTTGATTACATAATGATTCTGTTAATGAATCTTACCTTCAGCCAACTTATAAATGACATTTCCGCAAAACACATAATGTAGTATATAGCATGGGCAAAAACTACATATTTCAGCAGCATAATAATGCACAATTCCAAACAAAAACAAAATATGTGAAACAATTTATGGGAAACAGGCAGGAATCTATCTATGGCCCTTTGTGAAGCAGGCTTCATAACATGGCACTATGGCTAAAAACCAATGTCTGGCTAGTATTATACCAAACATCTCATACAGAATTTCTATAGAATTTCACAAAAATTCTGGTAACAGATTATGCCGCCCCCACCACACACGCACGCATGCACACACACACACACAAAAGAGTTAATTTATTACCTTAAATAAAGTAAGGCTTGTAATTAGTCACGAGAGGTAAAACTCAGAATGGCCAACAAACTTTACACAATGTCCTCTCATACTGAATTCAACAAAAATTTGGTTAATGGTTCATAGTTTACATGGGAAATTTTACTGATGACCCTATGCCAAGTAGGCTTTGTAACTGCAATATAGCTAATAATTAAAAAGGTCAACATTACATGCCCAACATGTAACACATAAACTTTTTTTACAGTAGTTGTGAGACAAATTATTGGGACATTAATGAAGGTGAAAAAAGGCAAAGCTATTTCTGTAACAGGCCATGGAGGTCCATACAGTTGTGAGACATCGAGGTTCCCACATTTTCTAGACAATCAGCTCACAGATGGCAGTGAGGCTGTCAGTCTTATGTGGTGGCTCCCCTTTACCCCCATGGAGATTGATGGTACTCATTTCTGTCAGAGCCTGAGTCAACCCCAGGACCACAGTGCAGATAAGAGGGTTAGATCAACTGAAAAATCCAATGACCTCACTGGGAACCGAAACCCATGACCTACCAGCTTGTAGCATAGTGTCTCAACTAACTACACTACTGCGTGCCCATAATAAAGAGAAACTGTAACGTGTATAGTCTCTTGATTCATCAAGTCCCCTACTAGTGAACCAAAGTTGACATGAGAAGTGAGTTTATTCTGCCTGAAATGTCAAACAATTCTAGAAGGCTCCAAAATGTTGCTGACTGCATAAAAAGCCATGCCTTACCATTCATTTATCCTATAAAACTCTGATGTATAGTCAGTACTAAGACTGTCATTGCGAATTGCTCCAAGATCTCTCACAGTGAATGTATTTAAAGTAGAAATTCGTTCCAGATGAATTGGATCATTAAAGTCATCAGCCCTGAAAAGAGAGAAAATATATTTAATTCTCAGACACAAACCACAGCAATTATAACCAAATTTGTTCCAAGATCTACTTAATTGTATTATATACATAATTTCATGCATAACAATTCATAATCTGAGCTAATGTACACACATCATCTGAAGCATTGCTATTTTCTCCATGCTGTTACTGACATCAATGTATCTAAAAAGGAATGGAACTCACCATGACCATGTGTGGAAGTTAAATTAATTAGCTGTTTTATGTTGAGAACTATGTATGGATTTATTAAAATAAACTTAAGTCAGTTCTAGAACACGATACTTCAGCCTTATAATTTGTACTCCTCACTAAGTATTAGGATGATCGGCTGGAGGATGTTGAGGTGGATGGAGCTTCTAGCATGCATGGAAGATACAAAAAAGCACACAAAAGTTTGGTCACAAATCCTGAAAGGGCTTGACTATGTATTTTTTTTTTGTATTTATTGCTAGTGGGGTGGGACTAAGTCCCTTGTACTGTGGCCACTTCTGGCCTATTGTGCCAGCCCAAAATACAGTTCATGTACGAATGTTTAACCTGGCTATGCTTAAGTGCCAAATTCCGAACCTGAAATTTGAAGAACAGGATCACTAAACCAACATTAACCATCTCATTACACATAGTGCTTCCTAACACCGCTGCCCTTACACTGCCTACTGTTACACATGCATTCTATGAGTATATGACGCTGAAAAACTGGAAAACGAATTATTAGTTTCAGAAAACCGTTTGATGGGCAAACAGCACCTTAAAAACATTATTTGTGGCAAAAAAGTTCCAATGAAGTGGTGTTGAAGATAACTAGATTCATATCCCCGGTTCTGTATGAACACTTACCTAAATGTTCTTGGTGCAAATCGAGGCATTGTCTTGTTAAAAAATCCTCGGTAAGATGGTGTATAGGAAGAGTTGGGTGCGAAGTAAATAGCACTGGCATTTATATATGGATTTGCAGAAACATCAGCCACAGTTGAAAGAAAATAATACATCATTCCTGGGTCATATGTGTCATTTATGGCTGGTCTAATAAAGCGTGCTTGTAATATATAGCTCCAGAAAAAAGATCGACTCATAGCCATATTATGCAGGTGTAGAAGGGCTGTTCTGTTCGGAAATACAGGATTAATATTGATGTCTTTTATGTCAGGTAGGTGAGACACAGCATCCTCCGGTAAATAGAGATCACCCAAGTGCTGAATTGGACAATTATCTGCATTCACTTTATCCATTCTCAATCTGACTTCGTCGAAAGCATCACGAGCTTGCCATTCATATTGTCCGAACACGCCCATCCTCAATGCACACAAAGCACAGAATACATATAATAGAGAAGCCATAATGCTTTATTTTCTGCATTAAGGAGGGCAGAAAATTAAGTCCACAGAGTTAACATCCTCACAAGCAAAACAGTGAATCTTAAAAATGTGTACAACACAACCACCTCAACGAACTCAAGCACTAACCAAGAAACCACAATGGCCACCACGGCTACCACTAACCGCCACTAACACTCGCTCTCGTGCTCCGTACCGTGGACAAATGTCAACACCAGGGACACCAGGTGAGCTGTTTACGACCAGGCCCACCAGGGTCGCACCAGGACGATCAGTACCAAGACGACCAAGACTGACCAAGAGACTATCACGGGATCACTGACCACGTCTGCCGTTCACATTGTATTCACGAAGACCCGATGGGGCACGGAACGTCAGCGAACCGTCAACTCGCACATGTCAGGACGAGGCCACACCAAGGAAACTGGCAACCGCAACGAAACCGCAATTTCCGAGATCTGATATCTGCCTTGAGTTGAACACATGTTACAGAATGGAGCAGCCGAAATTGAGGAAACTGCAACGCATTTCTCGGAAATTGCGGTTTCCAGTTTCCTTGGTGTGCTCTCGTCCTAAAAATGCATGTCAGAATAGTTTGTCCTTGCGCTGTTGGCTTGTGTCGGTAACGTTACGCATTTTGTGCACAGTGCCCACGCTCAACTACGAATGCTACGATACATTAGTAGTGATCCGTAGCATCCTTAGAGTGGTGTCACGGGTTACTGGAATGTTAGGACCAGTAAACAACGGTAAAGAACAAACTACTATGGATTAGATACGACGTGTGTTATTTTGGGTCACTTCGTGCGTGGCTTATGGAAGTGGAATCGTTATAATCAGGACAACTGAGGCACGGGAAATATAATTCAGACTTAGAAAGCAGTCATTAGATAGCTATATGCACGGCTTTGACTCTCGTACTGTAAGGAATAATTGTTTTTAAACTAACATTTTAGAGATGTAAATTGCTGAAGAATAAATGCATAATGTTTTATGTTTTTTGTTCTTATGTCACTGAAATGAATAAACGTGTAATTTTGTCATCCGCTATTACAGGTGTTACTGCTCTAAATACTTTTTTAGTGCATTTAGCTGATATTCCATTGAGAGGCCAACGATTAATGGATGCTACTGAACGAAATACTTGGACATGCATACAGCTGCCCTATGTCGCTCTCTAAACAGAAGTGCACCGGTGCAACTTGCGTGGCATCCCTCTCCACGGTTTTTCAATAGAAATGCTTTCCTTGTCCATGGGAACAGGTTTGAGCGGGTTTTAGGGTCGTAAAAAATTTTTACGTAGCATAGCTGCATACACGCTCCCCCCTTCAAGCTGTTCAATTTTATTTCCCGCGCTTAGAATTTAATTTTATTGCCACGCCCAATTACGTACCGCTCAAATCGATGCCGCTTTGAAAATTTATTTCCAGAAAAGTAATTATGAACGCACCAATTTGCTAACTCCTACAGTTTTGATACTGCTGTTTCCAGTATTTAGTTTTATCTTTCTCATTATCTGTATCAGTTTGAAACACATATGTAATATTTGTATTAATAAATATAATTTATTAGCCACGCAAAAGATAAAAATAATTTATAATAAACACCAGAAATATTTTTACTAATAATTTGAAATATATGTTCGAGGGTTAATAATTGTTTTATATACGTTACGCCATTTTTTCAACTGTCCAATCATATTCGTTGAACACAGTCCGAAATACACATTTCCTCAGCTGAACGCTGGGTTTGAGAATATCCTTGCGCGTCGTTGTGTGACCCCCTCACAAACGCGATCACGTTGACGTTGTCTGCCGCCATTGCACACTACGAGGTTGCTGTGTACAAAATTTCGGAGGTAAAGCTTTGATCATTTTAATTGTATTTGGTGGTATATGGTGAGCGTCGAATGAAATATGTAGGCCTGAATGATTTGGGGCCGATGTGAGTGGTAGTGTTCAATGTTTTAGTACATGTGAATGGTTAAACTATGAATTATACGGAGGTGTATACTTTTCTATGCTTATTGGCTTTGCCGGCCGGTGAGATGGTGAGACGATAAGTTTGCCTAGGTTTGTAACGGGAGTGTTATGTCGGTTTAGGATTATTCGGTTATGTTGTAAGTTGACCGAGTAAGGTGTAGCTAATGTACTGGAGTGATAATGACCGGTAAATGAGTAGTAACCGCGAGCAAGTTTTTTTTAAATGGAGGACTGGCGCGTTGGTGTGTTTACATTGTACCATTGAATATTTTTCATTATAATGATAGTAAAATCACAGCATACATTCAAATTTAGTTGCGAATAGGTTAGTTTTTTGTTTTTTTATTTTAAATATACCATGTTGCCGTTCGCGCAATGGTACAGTTTCATTTCAAGTAATGCCTTTTGTTATTAAGCAAGCGAGCTCAGCCGTAGTAAACAGTCTGAAAGTTTTTAGTGTCAGCTTTGTTAAGCAGTGTGCAATAAGCATTACAGATGTATGTTTAGCAAAGGATTCCTGTATGTCTTGTAGGTTTATAGGAATTAAGGAACTTAGCGTTTGGTGACGGCCTGTCTGACGGTGGATGTTTTTTTTTTAACGGATTCAGGAGTGTTCTCTGTAGGTTTATTTAAAGTAATGAATGTTTCTGTGCTTTGTGATGCCTGTGCCTGATGGTTCATGTGTTTTCCATCAAGGGCTGCTTTCTTTCTCACCACCTGTATGTGCATTTGTAGTTGAATTCCCAGATACTTGTTTAGTATTTGGAGGGTTTTTTTTGTGTGCATCTGGTGGTTTCTTTCCCAGACCTTCCATTTCTAAAGTCACTTTGTCCCTTTTTCTTTTAGGAATGTCTTCCCAAGTGTCTCGAGTTCAAAGATTGTTGTAAATCTTGTTTTGTGTCATTGTAGGTGGTCTTCCCCCCCCCCTTGTACAGAGCTTTCGAAGGAAATGGATACATGTTGGAAACGATAGCATGCTATGATGGTGACAAGGTGTTTGTTGCATGGGTTGCTGGTTCTCAGGTTGTGTGATGATTATTATGTAAAGACGGTACAAACTATAGCTTACAAGAACTGGTAGGATCCCCATTCTGCCTTAAGGGCTCCCTCAGTATGTTAAGATTTGCTTTATTTTGCCAAATTTGTCTGTTGAAATTGAAGCAGTAATGCATATTACAGCATGGTCTTCACTCTGTTTTTTTCTTATTTATCTTTTAACAGCAGATTGGTGTAGTAGTATAATGCCATGAACTTATATTCATGATGTCAGTTCTGTCTTGACTGGGATACCGCTATTCTGACTGAAGTTCTTTTGCTGTTCTCAGTCCATGCAGGCTTATGCTTTGGGATACACATTTTAATATTATTTCATATTTATCAGCCTTGTCTTTGTATGCTGTATGGTTAAAATGCTGGCGTTCGTGAAATAAACCACAAGAAATTAGGTTGTCAAGTTATCAAAGAAAATGTGGCAGCACTATGAAACACAGCTTATACTTTTTTTTTACTGCAGTGGATGGTCTCATTAGCAGCTTTTTTTTTATTGCTAGTGGGTGGGGACTAAGCACAATAGACCACTGTAGGTCGCGGTGCAAGGGCCGAGGAGGCCTACCCCTCATACAAGTCCCTTGTATTGCGGCCACTTCTGGCCTATTGTATCAGCCCCAGATGATAGGTGAGGGTGATTGTGGAGCAGTTGGTGGAATGAAGATTGGCAGGGGAAACCGAAGTACTCGGAGAAAACCTGCCCCAGCGCCACTTGACCAGACCCAGGATCGAACACAGGCCGCTGCGATGGGAAGCCAGCGACTAACCGCTTCAACTATGGCGCGGCCCTTCATTAGCAGCTAGATAAGTATAGTTGGTTAAAAGTTCTGTTTTCTCTATGTTCAGGTTTAAATTGGTTACTCTTGCAACAAGGTATTCACTTCTGCAATTGATGGCTGTAAAATGTAATCGTGCATTGTTACAGTGGTGTGCTGTAGGTTCACAGAAAAGAAATCTTGATGTGGACTGTGAGGAATTCTTGATGGCAGAGGGATTCATATTCAGCAGTTCTTACTAAATGATGCAAGTTTATGTTGTCTTTGCAGTAATTAGTAATGAAGTTCTGTCCTTGATATATGCAGGGAAAACCCTGTTGTTCCCTTCATGGTCACTCGGTAACTACTGCCACTGTTCATTGCTTGTTTCTATTTTGTTTGAATGCAGTTACGTTGTAGCTTCGTACAAGAGCATTAGACAGAAAAGATCGCCTTGAAGCGTGACATCAGTCTTGTGTTCATTGATTTTGTTAGGCTGTTATTTGTGCACTGTAAGGGATATAGTGTTCTTATTGTCATGTATTTTAGGTTCGTGATTAGATTGTGCCCATTTTGAAAGTTTAAAGCTTGTACATAGATTAGGATTGTGTAGGACTTCACTGTATGGAATGTTATTATGTTTATCTGAAAGCTGAAGTGCACATCCAGGATCATGTTTTCTAATTTGTTGTGTCTGTCTGTCAGTAGTTTTGTGAGGGTTTTGAAGCAGTTATCATGGAATAGGCCCCTGTATGTGTACTGGTCCTTTTCATGATTGACCATCTCCAAGCCCAGGCATGTATACTTTTTAAGCACACATTAGAGATTTCTCTGTGCATCTAGTAAGGGCTTTTGGGACTTGTGTACATTTGAGATTTCATCATGGCCCAGAACTGTGTTCCTTTTGACCTGTATTATTGTTGCGAACCAAATAGAACTTTTTGCATGTAGTTATATTTGATGTGTGGCCTTGGTAAAGTATATGAGAGAAGTGGCTCCCAAGTCCACATTGAGATGTTTCGACAGAAGTGTTGTCTGTACCTAAAATAGACTTTCGTTGTCTGTCTCTGTCCTAAAGTTTTTTGTTTCGTTTGTGATCACTGCTTTGATCCCAGAATGGTCTTGTATTTGCTGTTGTTTGTAACATCTCAAGTTTATTGCCCCGTGTATTTGGACTTGTGTAATGTGATCTGGTGTGGTTTTTCTGTTTCGGTAGCATTGTGAAGCCAGAAGTTTGCCATCCCCTTGTGTTTCTGATTATGATGTTGGTATTCATGACAATCTGCAGTTTGGTGCACTGCTGAGCTTGGCTTATACAGTCATTAACAAATTTGGCCACTGCAATACCTTCCTTGAGAATTCTACTATAGTTTTTTTTTGTTTTTATCCATTGATGTACTAGTGGGGACAAGTGACACATTCTCAGGTGTTACTGGAGCTTATGATGGTACTTCTGATTATCAGTTTAACTTTCTAGATATTAGGTCTTATGCCATTATAGGAGGTTATGTTGGATGGGGACAAGTGACATATTCTCAGGTGTTACTGCAACTTATGATAGTACTTCTGATTATCAGTTTAACTTTGTAGATATTAGAGCTTATGCCATTATAGGAGGTTATGTTGGGTGATTGTGGTTTACTGATTCTTTCAGATTTGTTTTTTCTGAGTACTGGGCATGTGATCTAGGTGTACTGGGTTTTGGTGGTCAGCATTTTGTGGTTTTTTCAGGAGCAGTTTGTTTCTTGAGGACAAAAAAAAGGCAGTTTTTGACTTGGATGATTGTCATGCAATATTTGGGATGTTAGTGGATATGATCTGATGAAAGCATGTTGTCCTGTTTGGAGGGGGGAATTCTGTGTGACATTTTTATAGTAATGCGTTAGTAAAATGCTGCCTGTCAGAGTGGCTGATAGAGATTTGTGTGCTCAGAATTAATGGGATATTGATTTTTTAAAGGTTAAAGAGGTTGTCCCAGTATTCAGACTCACCCTTTTTTATGTTTTCTGGAGTAATATGAGAATTTAAGCTGTATGGCCTCTGAACTTTATCCTTTCACTCCCTTTTCCATGATTGACCATTTACAAGTGTCCTCTTCCAATTGCCATACTGAGGGTAGTTTGTGTGGTGACATTGAAATTAAAATTGCACAACAAAAACAAATTGTTTTCTTAAAATTCATTTTCAGTATTTATGTCAGATGGTGCATGTAGTATGCACCCCATGTAAATTGTAGGATTGAAATTTTTGTGGTGTGCAGTTTCATTGTGCTGTTGTCAATATAACAGTTTTATGTCTCATTTTTTGAAATTGTTCCAAAATGTGTGTGTGGTGTCATTGTGAGCTGTGCATTTTTTCCCCCGTTAGCATTTGGCAGGAATATTACTGAAATATTCCATACTTTCGGATGTCTTACAGAGTCAAATGTGGGAATGCTTGTCACGGTATTAGATGAGGTATTGAATCTTGGCATAGTTAAATGTTGAGACATTTTGCATAACTTCTGGAAATACCTACAAATTGTTGAGTTTGTAGTAATTTTGCTGGCAGAGTGTTTTGAATGTGTTAATTGTTTTATTTGAGTTGTATTTTTATTTTGCTTAAATGGATCTGTTTGCGGTGATAGTAAGGTCACACATATGAGGCTTGTTGAAAATATTTCCAGAATAACCGCATGCAAGCAGCACCAGTCATGATAAGTGACCAACCTATGCTTAGCAGTTCCAGATAGTATGGGTGACTTGTAGCGCATCATGATTTTGTGGTTTTAGTTTTGTGATATGTTGTCCATAAAGAAACAAAAGAACTGGGTAAATACAAAACCCACGTTGTGAAGCTCATGACATTAGGCGTCATGTAAAGTGGAATAACTTAAACAAGTCAGAGATTGGGCCAGACTTCAGTTTTTTGAGAAATGATGCTTTGATTTTCCAAGTGAAATACATCCTTTGAAGTCATTGACTGTACAGGGAGTAGTAGAAGAGATTGAAATATCTCTTGGCTCTTGTTACACAATTTTAACGAGGTTTAATATATTGAATAAGCAGTCTCAGCCGATGAGGGGTGGCCATCCA